TCATTTTAATATTTGTTAAGTATTTGCTATATGTTCAACTCTGAGTAGGCACTGAGATACAAAGACTAATGTATTCTTTTGATATGAAGGAATTCCTTCTCTCCTAGTGGAGGTCTTCACATTAACAATCATAGGATGACATTCTTGCTGTAAATAAAGTTAGGGATAGAAGCACAAAGAAGGGTGTAACTAACTTCCTCATCATGATATAGGGAACAGCTTTGGAGAAGAAATGATACTTGAGCTGGGTGCTGAAGAGTGATTAACAGTCATTATGGTTGAGGGTAGGACATGCCTAGAATAGTTATGTAAGGCTGGCTTTCACATCACTATAAAGAGAGCAGTTCCTGAAACAAAAAAATTTTAAAAAGGAGCAGAAAAGTACTTTCATGTTAGAATACCTTATGGAAAAACAACCAAGAGTTGAATGCTGAGGAGGAATCAAGTGAGAGGTGATGCCAAGGTATGAGATCTAGAATTAGAATTCAAAGGCAGTCATCAAAGGAAGATGCATTTCTCAGGTCTGTAGTGCTATCCTGTGAGTTACTCTCATGAAGATATCAAGGGTGAAATCAAGAAGAAGTCACATTAGCTAAACCTGTACATGATTGCTATGGATACTTAAACACACAAGTCTGTTGGAGGAAGCCACAGATAACTGGAATATATTCCTGAACTTCAGAGTCTGACCTTATAGCACACCATGGATCAATCGTGAGAAGTGACAGAACTCCTGAGAGACGGGCTAACGCTTACACGTCATTAATATTCCACTAAACATATTTCACTGTTAAATAATCATTTTAAGAAGTACACTATGATTCCAGGGAAGAGTACTACAAAGTTTAGGGAAGTATGATCTTTAAAACATTTTTTTGGTAGTGTAAAAGTTTGAACTCAGGACCTTCTGCTTGCTAGGCAGGCGCTCTACCACTTGAGCCATGCATCCAGCACTTTCTGCTTTCTTGTTTTTAAAGATAGGGTCTCCTGATTTTTGCCCAGGATGGCCTTGGGCCACAATCTTCTTACTTATGCCTGCTGCATAGCTGGAATTGCAGGTGTGTGCCAGTAAGCCTGATTACTTTTACACTATTTTGAAATACAACTGCACACTCCAGAAGACACAAAGCTTTATGTATGCCCTATCAGAACACCCTATTCTGACTTCATTCTTATCTGTTAAACATTCCTAAAAACTTAGTGTGGGGAATCCAGAACGGCTCGAGTCCCCTCTTATGACTGTCTAAACAGGTGTGAAACTTATCAGTTTTCACTATTTGGGGGGGAGACTATGATTCAAATCAGTCTGTTGCTTGTCTGTACAACTTGAAGGAGGTCAGTTACTAATTTCTGTGCCCTGGTTTCCTCATTTGCCATGTAGATACATATTTTTGCTATTTTTTGAGATTCAGGGGATGTTATGAAGGTTAAATTGCATAAGCAAGAATAAATTTTGTAGAAGTTCTAAAGATTAGTTGAAAGAGCTCTAAGCTCTAGCTATCTCTGTGTGCTTGTATGTACACAATGCTAGATCAGCCAAAGTATACTAAGTCCAAATACAGTAGTGTCCCCCTGAGGTACAAATCCTGACATTATCTATTCTTCACTGCTTTTCTCTTCTGTCATTTGGTAATTAACTTCAAAGTGCTCCTAAACCTGCAATGTAGTGACTATGTCATAAGCACTATCCCTTGATTGGTGGGTCAATTATGTGTGACCACCAATAGAAGGAGAATCCTGTGGTCACCTGGCCTCTTATCACAACACAATGAAATCTGAAGCAAGTGCTTTTACCCTTCTGTCTCCATCTTTCCACCCATTCTTGATCCCTGACACTAAGTTTTATTTTTAGGATTATTCAAGGGTTGTTTGCCCCAGTAATTCCTTTAGATGGTTACCCTTCTAAGACCAATCTTGTAGATGCGAAGAAGTGAATTCAGTACATTGGAAAGAGAATTGGTAGTAGAGGAATTCTTAATTTTATGCCATGTACTTGACTGGCTTCCTAGATGTGAAATATTGGAAACAGTTCATCCATTTCATGGGGATGATTTATGGGTATGTGTGCTATCATTGTGTAAAGTATATGACAATAAATCACCTCAGCCAGTACTCTGTAAGCTTAAATACTACTGAATTTCTCATTCAAACATTAGACTGCTTATAATGCAAAAATTCTTTAAAAAATCAGGTTAACTCAGTTTTTGAGCTACATATATGATTTTTTAAAAAAAAATGTTTTAGTCTTGCAGGTTTCTGTGCCTATTCTGTCAAAGGAAGGTTTCTTACATCAGGGAAGTTAAGGCAAACTGTTTAGTAACAGCTTTCCAGAATCTGCCTGAACCCCATAAGTAATGCTATGAGGGTGGAGGAGGGTAAAGAAGATCTCTGGAATTTTTCTTTCCATATGAAACCAAGGCTCTGGAAAAGCTCCAGAAATGATTTCATTTCTATTTCCATAAACACAAAGATCATCTTTAGAGACCTCACCACATTTTCAGCAATTCTAAAAAAATAATCCCAGGGGAAGGATATAAGGGAAGGGTGAAAGAGGGTGAATTTTGTGGAAGTATTATGTACTCATGCTTGAAAATGGAAAAATGAGACCTGTTGCAACTATTCTTAGAACAGAGTAAGGGGGATAAAAGAGAATGATAGAGTGGGTGTATTTAACTAAGATATATTGTAAGCACTTTTGTAAATGTCACAATGTAGCCCCAATGCAACATGATAACAAAAATTAAATTAAATTAAAATAAGCTCAGCCTCTTCAGTTGTCATTCCTCCCTTAATATTTTGATATATGATATGCATGTTTTCCAAAGTTTGTATACAAGATCATAATTTTAAAGTAAATGTTACCACCATTCCACCTAGCTATGGATGTGTAGAAAGAGTAGAATAACTGTGTGTGTGTGTGTGTGTGTGTGTGTACGTACATGTGTGTGTATGAATGGGGAAAAGGCAAATTTTTTTACAGTACAGGCTACACTATCTTAAAATAATTGTAGCCTTGGATTTTGAACTTTTCTTGCAATTTTAAAGAAAAACACGTTGCTATTGAGGTTTATACAGTCATTCTGAGAGATAAATCTGATGTCTTGAAACAATATTTGATTATTTCAGTTTCTTTCAGCAAATTTTCCCTCCCTTTTAGCTGCAAGATTCAGCAAATAGATTATTGTGTATTATGAAAAACAGGACCTGCCACGGGGAGGTCACACATGAGAAGGGTAGGGTAAAAGAAGAAAGTTAAGGTGAATATGGTTGATGTACTCCCTATACAATAATTAATATAGCATTTTTAAACTGATTGAAACAATCATAAGAAATGGACTAAAGTAGATAGAGGAAATGAACCAAATCGGGCTATAATACATATATACATGGAAATGACAGAAGGAAATTCCCTGTGTAGCTTTCTTAAACAAGCAAAAATGTCATTTCTTTTTCCTTTCTTTTGCAAAATCAGAGAATAGGAGGGCCGAACATGCTCTGCCTGGGGGAGTTGATACCAGCAGAAATGAGTAGGTAGGGAATGGGTTTAAGAGGGTGAATATGGTGCAAATACTGTGTACACATAAATGTAAATAGAAAAATACCTGTTGAAACTGTTTCTCAAATGGAGGGAAGGGGGGATAAAGGAGAATGGTGGAGAGGGTGAATTCAAGATGGTATATTGTAAGAAACTTTATAAATGCCACAATGTACCCCTACCCAGCACAACAATAAAATGAAAAAATAAGACAATGAAAAAAACAAATAGATTATTGTGTATAAGTTGGTTTCTGTCTTAGAACTTTGTTTCTTACTGAGATTCCTTTTATCAATATAGAAAGAATACTAAATGATGATTTGGTTACTCTCAAAATAAAGACATAAGCTAAATTAAGCTTCTGATTTATAGTAGGAATCAAATAATGGAGCCAAGTTAGCATACTTTTTAGCTTCTTTGGCATCCATCCAACAGATGTCATTTTTGAGAGCTGTGATCATGTGTGTCCAGTGATATTTTAAACAAATGCTATTTAATGCTTCAATAAATATGCAGAGTAAGGAGTCAATCTTTTTGAAATGAATGACTTAATGCTTTGCCGTTTAAAAAAAGAATCATAAGAGAACAGATCAGACTGAATCTGAATCATTTCTCTTCTCCTTCTCTCACGTGTGCCCTCACGTCCCCTGTCCTCTTACACAACACATGTACTTAGTGAGGCACCTTCACCTCCCAGGAGGGCAAGCAAAAACAAAAAATGTCTTTAAAATCAGTGCAGTGGTGGCCAGTTTTTCTCATAGTCCACAGGGTAAGGAAGAAGATCCACTGGGAGCTGAGCAGAGTGAGTGACTGTCAGTTGGTTTGGGGTGTGTGATGACAATAATATTACTCGGGAAACTTAAATTGGAAGTCTTATTCCATTCACTACAGTGTTCTTCAGAGTTGGCCAAGAAAAATGATCACCTACACTAGGTCACAAATGTCCCCCAAACTAAGAAAATCATTAAGCATCCAGAAAAGGCTGAGATAAAACAGAACTTTATTTAGCACTGAGGTCTTGGTGAGGACGACACCTTATCCACTAGCATTAGTTCTTGCAGCATCAGGTACAAACTAAGAAAAGGGATCCCATTTGGGCAGACACACCCGGGTGGGCGCATGGCTGTGAGTGGAGCTGGGTTAGATTCCAATCCAACATCTCCTGTCACCTCAAGCACTCAGGTTCATACAAAGCATAATTTGAACAACTGGATACAGAGATCTTATTTATACAAATCTCTCTCTCTCTCTCTTCTTACAAACCATAGTACAAAAATAATACAACTAGAACATTTATCTATAGTCATTACAGGGTAGGATTGTGAAAATTTTCTATAGCAAATGCCAAATTTATTCTGCATAAATTTGCATAAGCTTAACATGATACCTGTTAAAAATTCCTTATAAGAACAACCAAGAAAAGTCCCTCTCCTGTGTTTTACTACCAAGAGAATGGGATACTTACCACCATCTTCAACCACAAAATGGAATATATCACTTGTGGCATTAGCTCCTTCTTGTAAGACATAACATATTTTCATCTCATCAATGTCAGCTAGAAAATAACCAAAAAACAAGATGATGAATTACTTGAGCAAAAATGATGACTTGTTACTTAGGCTAAATTCTATTGGCTATTACTTTCTATAAACATTTTTAGATCCTCTTCTAAGGGGAACAGTACTATATTAATTCTCTGACCTCGAAGCCCCTTGATTTCAGCTGTCCCCTGGAAATCTGATCCTTACACAGATATAGAGTACAAGACTTAGATTATAATAATAGCAAGGTGTTGCCCCTTCCAATGGTGTTTGCACGTTCACGTACCAAAGGAATGGCTATCTAAATAAGGAATGTCAGACACCATGACAGGTGGAAAGGAAGATATTTTGAGGCATGGCAGATTTCCTGGTCCTCTTGAAATTACATCTTTTGACTCCCTGTAGTGCTGTGAGCCAGTCCTACAGGGAGGCAAAGGAAAGAGTGAGGAGTGCCTCCCCATTCTAGCTCATTTTCTTACATTTTGTGGTAGAGCAGGCTATTTTAAGCACTCCAAAATTTGAAAGGAAAAACAAAGTGAGATTTTTAAAATCCCACATATTGAAATAACTATCATGATTCAATGTTAGACAGCAAAAAATATCTACAAAAGAATGGAAGTTTTTACTCATAGTAGAAAGTTATACCACGTCACAAATGCTCCTTACACTGCTTCCTACTCTATCAAATCCACTGACATAGATTTGTTTTCAAATCTAAGGCATAATTTTTAAATTTTATTCATTGTTTTACCAGTGCCAGACAACATAATAAAACAAATATCATTCTGTTCTGTGATACTCACAATCCATTGTTATTTGATCTGCTCCAATCAGTGAGTTTCTAAGGTTACATAAAGTGAGATCATAGCTAAAAATAGCTCCAACAACAGTAAGTAATATTTATTTGTCTAATTGTGTTTTTCTGTCTCCTAAAAGTTTCACTAAGTTCCATTTATGGATTTCAAAGGCATTTTATATATAGGACAATGGGTCTGTCAAAGAATTATCTCAAGTGAGGTGCGAGGTCTTTGGGTCAACTATGAATTGCTACAGCTTCTTTACAGACGTGAAATGTGTGTTCTATCCTGGCTCATGAAATTTTGATGTTGATTCACTTACAATCAGGAATCTGATTTTATTATTAACAGTATCCACTTGCTAGTAGAGTCTTAGAAGTTGAACAAATCCTGTACCATTTTATTTCTGTCTCTACCATAATTCTCCACATTTTCTGACTTGTGTCATTTATATGTATCTGTATGGCTATCATTTCTAATACATTGAAAACTTGTGAGTTTTTTTTCCCATCTTAACTTCCCACAGTCCTTTTCTCAAAGTCTTCTACCCAGGCTCAAGTGTTTTCTTAATTTAAGATGAAGGAGCTGAGTGGTGGTAGAACACACCTGCATCCCTACCCACACATGTGTGAGTTTCTGCAGGGGTAAGGAGTGCAGCCCCCTGCACAGCTCTTGACTTGTTTACTCTAAACTCAGCTTTTGTAATCTTCCCCTTATCAGTAAGGAATGAAGCAAACTCTGCTGACTATACATGCCTACCATGGGGATAATAACCTCTGGCCAGGAAAGGAAGTCTCTTATCCAATGCTCTCACCTTTTCTTTAATTTTATAAGAAAATCTAAAGGCTCTTCTAGGAAATAAGAAAAAGAGTTTTTTTAGTACACACACAACATTCAGTGCCACTATTTTCTTCAGCAAAAATATAATATTTAGGAATTTCATTGAAATAAATCACTGCTTTAAAACTGAATTTTAAGAACTTTCTTTTATCAGGTAAAGAGAACATGAATGTAATTATATGACATTCAAGTGTCACATTTTCTTACCAAATTAAGGCATATGAAATTGATTAGATGGCACATACTTTCATTTTCCCTGTAACTTTGTTACAACTACTTTACAGATAAAAAAAAAAGACTCTTTTGAAATTCCAAGAGATAAAGACTTTGATCATAATATTGTTATATTACAGCTAACACTGAAAATAACACAAACATACTGTAGCTATGCATAAACACTAGCTTTCTAAAGGCACACAAGTATTAAGAAGACAAAAATCTAATAGCTAAAATGTTTTCTTTAAGCAATCATCTAAGAATTAGCTAGTTTTTTCTAATTGTTTAATATGCATTACATGTATTTCAGCTCATCTACCCCATTGTTCATGGTTTTTATTCTAAACTCGTTAATATGCCTGGTAACCACACCTGGTTCAAACTCTTTGGGGATGTTTCTGTCTTACTGAAAACTTATAAATTAGCCCCCAAAATACATCATTATGAATTCTTTGTAGAGTCCAGATACTATAATTTAGACCTGGAGGTAAAGGGGTAGAAAGGAGAGGGAAATCTTGGGAAAGAGGTGAAATTTGATGTCAATAATTTCTCTAACCTGGTTAATTTTACAATGTTTACTAAAAATGAATTTTAACAAGCTCTAGAAACAAATTCATTTTTTTCTCCTAACAGTCATTTCATCTATCAACTTAGGAATAACCTTCTCTGTCCACCTTTGCTAAACTGACAACTAGGTATATTGAAAAATCCATCCAAGTAATAGTTTTCCTCATCCCTTCACAATAAAGCAAAAATAAAAACAAATTTAAAAGATTGCATAGCCCTTTCTCTAAACACTGTTTTCATTTCTCCTACTGGAAGAACAGCCATAAAAACTGTCTGATGCAGCTTTCTCCATTTTTAGTCACTTATCTAATCTCTGTAAATAACTGCTATGAACCAAACTCTAGCCTTCACTTGCTCAAATGAGTGCTGTATGATTGCATACCAACAGTTTCCTAGTCAATATTTGAATTTGTATTTGAATGTGATAATTTCCTTTAAAAAGGATATTTTTAAAGTATCATAAACTTTATAATGAACTTATAACTACGTTTACAATGACCATAAAAATTAATTATGGCAAACTCAAAGTCAACTGCTGATAATAAGATAACATAATTTTAGAATTCAATATTGAAGAAATAATATCCCAGTATTTGCAGCTGTTGTACTTGGTCCATAGAATTTAAAGTAAATCACTTGCTTGTCTTCACTAAAAATTCTTTTAAAAAACCTCCAAAATCAGATTTTCTTTTTAACTCAGTGGAGGGATTTGAAGTGCCATTTTTTATCCTCTAACATATGCCTTTCATCTTCTTCACTTTCCATGAAAATAAACTAGGCTAAAATTGTGTGGCATCACTATCCTAAGAAGGCCTTCACACAAAAGTTTCCTGCTGGTTTTGCATGTCACTTGGCACTCTGGGGTTTTCCTGTCCCTGCAGGCCCTGGGATATTATTCAGGCTTTCAGCCAAGAATCAGGAGGTTAGAGTGTGAGACTATTTGCCAGAATCAAAAAGAAGTAGTTCTCTTTAATACTACATTTTTAACATCCATGTCTATTAAAGTATTTGTTATCTAAGTGTAGAACACTGTCATAGGAAAAGGACACCCCCACTGGGATTCCCTGGGGGAAATCCAGAGCCCACATAGGATAGATCCAGTTTCCATTCTGACATGGTGAGATTTTCATGAAAGCAACACAAATCCCTTTGTAATGAAAGTCACACATTCTGGAGAACAGAGCTCTCACTCCCCAGCCAGCACACTGAATGGCCTTCTCCCTTCCCTCACTGAATAACTCTGCATAGGTCACCTGCCTTTCCTGTCTCAGACTGGGTCCACCCACATGGGACATTCAAGTTAGAAGAGCCTGTTGCTTCAGGAATTCAGGTACTTGAGGTAAATGGTATCACGTACTGTGTTTGCAACACAAGAGAGAGAAGGCACAAAATGATAAAAGTAATTTTCTCCTTCTACTATTCATTTTGTTTACATATCTTCAGGCTGCTAATAATAAAATGGATTTATAGTTTAGAGATGAACATGTTGCCTTCTTATGCATCGTTAATCTATTCCTATTTGTGTGCATTCTAGTAGCTTGACCTATTATAAACATATAATTTATTTATTTTTCTATTATCATATTATTGTTTTACTGGAGGTACATTGTGACATTTACAAAAGTGTTTATAATATATCACAGTTGAATTCACTCTCTCCATCATTCTCTTTATCCTCCATCCCCCCATTCCTAGAATTGCTTCAACAGGTCTCATTTTTCCATTTTCACACAAGTACATGATATTTTCACCACATTCACCTTCCTACATCCTTTCCTTATATCCCCATCTCCCACTGGTACTAATATAATTTTTATAGCCCTACACAGGTGTATTTATTTCTTACCTCTTTAGACAGGTGTTTGCCTGAGTTGTGAAATATTCTAAAAGAATTTTTAAATCTTAAAGAAAATATAAATATTTTTCTTTCATCTAAAAGTTCTTAGCAACCACAACAGTATCAGCACAATGCTCTTAAAAGCAATTAAAGTAATATAAATCTAAAGGATTTTTTGTGGATGCTAATTGATAATGATGATAGTGTGATAAATGCAATTTAGAAAACACATCTCTCTGTAAGGTACTAAAATGCTTCATGAAGTATGTGCAGTATACAAAACAGAGGATGCTCAGAAGATAGGTAAATGCAGCAGCGTTAGAAAGTCTACTTCAATTTCAATTTGCCAAAATCTTGTACCTGCTTTGGCAGGAAACCTTGTTACTATCAAAATGCATTGACACTTACTCTCATCAAGGTCACTGCCGTGGAGCAAAATGCAAAATGAATATGTTTTTCCAGGAAAGTTAGTGAGTGTGTTCTTCCCCTTCCTTTTTTTCCCCTCCTTTCACTTTCCTTGGACCCTAAATGGATGCTTTACTTATAAGGCTTTCTGTGACAGACATATTTTCAAGAAACAATACCTTTTCCTTTTGTTATAAAGACATTGAAAAGAAAAATGAAACCTACCTTGGGTAAACTGAGTGATGCTGTGGTTGCCTTTGCCCAGGTTGAGGAGATAACCATGTTGAGGGCCCTCTGTCACAATAAACCTAAGAGAAAAGTGTAGGCTGTCTCTGTCCTCCACTTTCAGTATTTTGCTTGTGATCATGAACCCCAAGTGGCCAGTGGTCAGAGTGCGAAGCATAGAAGCCCCTTTATTCACTGCAATTTGGGGGACACTGTTATCAACAGCTAAGACTTGGATCTTCATCACTTGAGGTTTCCTTGTTTCAAACACTGTATCAGGAAAAACATAGAAGTCTGTGTGGGTACTATCAGTCACTGTGAAAGAGAAGCTGTCTTCCCTTGACTCTGTGCCATCATGTTTGTAGCTGATTAAATTTTCATTCAAGTCTTGCTTGGTGAAAACCATGACAGGTCTGCTATTGTTGAATAAGAGATGACCATGAATAGGTACCTGGGTAACAATGAATTTCAGGAGTTTGTCAGGAGTATCTCTATCTTCAACAGTTAGTTCGAAGGGAGTGATCAGTTTGCTTTCACTTTCACTGACAACCAAATTATGAATGGTAACCACTGGCTTTTTATTGTCCACGTCACTAATAGAGATACGGAATGTTCGAAAGACAGGATTACGCCCATCGGTGACTTGGAACTCAAAACTGTCCATCTTCACCTCATCGTCAGCTGTGTGGATATAATAGATTTTGTTGCCAGCCAGTTGGAGCTGAGTGAAAGATATGATGGACACTCCAGGTTGATCTGTGCACTCTAAGTGGCCTCTCATGGGAGCCCTGGTGATGGTAAAAACTAAGTTTTCATCAGGACTGTTCAAGTCACTTGTACTTAGTAGATCTGTTGTGAGAGTGACTTTACCACCTTCTTTTAAGGACACTCCTTTGCTTATCACATCAGGGAAGACAATGTCAATGCTCCCAATGGATACGTAAAAGTAGCGATCTATGAGGGCATTTATTCCATCTGTCACATCAAATTTAATTAGATCCCGAGTGCCCTCTTGCCCAACATGGACATATTGAATTAAATTTCTGTCTACTTCATCCTGGGTAAAATTCATGCCCAGTGTGATATTTTCATAAACTCCTGTAGGCTTTTGTCTTTGTAAAAAGCCATGTCTTGGCCCATAACGAATAATATAAACCAAGGATTTGTCCTCAGAGTCTAAATCAGTTGCCATTAATATTTTGTTGTTGATAATTTTGGTTTCCTTAATTTCTATTTCCAGTCCATTATTGATGGTCATTCTTGGAGTTTCATCATCAACAGGGATAACCATGATGAGCACCATCTTTTCCACAGAGTGTTTACCATCTGTTAGTTTAATCACAAAACTGTCTTCCTGGGTCTCAGAGTTGTCGTGCTCATAAATAATGCTGGAACTCTCTATGATCTGGTCCAGCGTGAAACTTTCCACCAAAACTGTGCCATTTACCAGCTGATTCATTATGTGCCCATGAGTGGGAAATTGGGTGACAGTGAAAGTTAAATCATCTGGGGGGATGTCAGCATCAGCAGCATTGAGAATGGGTGTATCAATCACTAGACTCATGCCTTCCATCACTATAAACTCCCTCATAAATATTTCTGGTTGTTCATCATTGGTAGGAATGATTGCAATGGAGAAAAATTGTCTTTCTGAAAAGTTAATGCCGTCAGAACAACGAAATATAAATCGGTCTTCCACAGGTTCTGCCCCTTTATGGACACTCTGGACATAATTAATGTGACCCTGTCTGAGATCTTTCACAGTGAAAGCACTTATGGCAGTTCCTGCTCTTGACTTCTCAGAGCCTGGTGCTGGAGAAATGTTTTCCACATAACCTGAGGTGGGCTGAATAATTATGGTGCACAAGATGTCATCATTTGGGGAATCAATATCTTCAGCACTAATGTGCATTGAGGTTATAACACTTTTATCACCTTCTAATACTACAAACTGTTCCCCTACAGAGATTTCTGGGGCTTGGCTGTCCACGGGGAGGATGGTCACCCACACAGTAACGCTCTGAATAGTATTGCCACCAATTCTCCATTCTTGAGACATATCTGACAGACTTAAGTTAAAGGAGTCTGCTTTGGGCAACAGGCCAATCTCACCACTGGTGTGGGTGTAGATGACAGAGCCCTCCAAGATGTCCTTCTGGGTGAAGTGATCTACTGGTGCTCCATTGACCAAAATTTCCCCATACAAGGGTGGATCTTCCAAGAGGAAAGTCAACATCAAATCATCAGTGTATTCCTTGGTCCCCTTAATAACATTGGTAGTGACTTCAGTAGCCCCGTTTTCTAAGACATCCAGATAAGACTCCAGAGTACCAGCAGGAAGGCTCAGCATGGGCATCTCATGGTCTACTGGCCGAACAGTCACTCTGAGAGTGATGGGTACCACATGGTGTCTATCACTGACTTCCAAGGAACAGCTATCAGTCAAGGACTCACGCCCATAATGAACATAAGAAATTCGGCCCTGTTTTATGTCCTCCAAATGGAAGAGCCCTCCTACATGCAGTACCTGTCCAGACACTTGTATGTGGCCATGTTTTGGTGCCTGGGTGAGTGTGAAAGAGATATGGGCCACATCAGTGTCTACATCATTCACATGCAACTCAGTCTCACTGAGGATGTGGTGGCCCTTCTCCTGAATGGTAAAGCCGGTGTTGAGGATCTCAGGTGGCTGGTTGTCCACTGGCTGTAAGTAAAGGGTGAAGGTGCCAGGGGCCACATTTCCAGCTCGGTCCTCCACTTGGAATTGGAACTGGGCCACCCGAGCAGCAACTCCCAGCTCTTGATCTGGAGGTCTGTAAGCAATTTTATGGTGGTTGACCTGTGCTTGAGTAAAATGGGTCACCACCACTGAAGGGTTATCAGTCAGGACCAAAGTGCCCAGAGGGGCTGGTGAGTGGTTTTCATCTGTGTCCATGGGTGGCTGAGTCACTGTGTACTGCAATTCTCGGTCATCTGTGTCCAGGTCTGTGTAACGTAGCCACTTCTTCCTCAGTGGTGTGAGCTGGGATTCCTGTACCACCATTCGAAGGGGACAGCCACTGCCCAGCTCTGGAGGGAGGCGATCCACAGGATGAATTCGTATTACAAACCTCTGAAGCCCAGATTGATTAGGAGGGTCATGGTTGTCCTGGATTCTAAATGTGAACTGGTCCATCACTGGCCCAGGACTGTGGGGTCCAGAATGCCTGTAGAACAGCCTCCCTTCTGTTATGTCCTGCTGCTGCCACTCTGTCACTATTCGTTCATAAAATACTCCCTGTTTCCTCCAGAGACCCTCCTCCTCCTGGGGAGGATGAGTTTGGCGAAAAAGCAGATGCCCTGTGGTTGAGTAGGGTGACTCCAGCACAAAACGCAGCAGAGAGTCATCAGAATCCATGTCAGTTGCACTCAGCGCAGAGGGTGGGATGGGTACTGTTTCACCCTCTGCCATTGTCAGCCCCATGTTGGCATTGAGAACAGGTGCCTGGTCATCCACAGGCACTAAGGTGATGGGGAACAGGAACTGTACCTGGTGCCTGCCTCCTCCATCCACCATGCGGAGCACCAGGTTGTCACTCAAAGAACCGTCTTTGTCATCATGCTGGTAGACCACCTGGCCAGCTGCAAGCTCAGTCACTGTAAAGGTCTTATGAGCAGAGCTGCCACTGGAAGTACCCAGGATCACAAGGTGGCCATGCCGGAGCCCAGCCACCACCTCCAGTCGCACTGCTTCCAGATCATCCTCATCACTGATGACCAAGTTTTGTGGTCCACTGCCTGTAGGACCTGTGAGGGGCCGAGACTGACCTTCATAGAGAATAAGACCAGTGTTTCTGGTGACCACTGGGGCCAGTGTGTTCATGGGCTTCACCACTACCATGAAGGCAAAAGGGTCTGAGGCTGCTCCTTCGGGGTCCACCACCTCTAGCTCTAGTTCAAAGAGACGCTCCTGGTCGGAATCTTCCGAGGGAGGCTGGTAGGCAATTTTCAGCAGGCGCAAATCCCTCTGAGTGAAGGAGGAGAGGGGCAGGCTGCGATCATCTGTGCTCACCAAGTAACCCTGCCCTGGCTGAAAGGGAGAGGTGAGGTTGAAGATCAACAGGTCCGGGTTAGACTCAGCATCCTCAGCTGCCAGCATGTCTGGAGTCAGAGCGGTAAGTACAAACTGGTCCACCTCCACCATCATCATGGCCACAAAACTCGGCTTGGGGGCCGTGTTCTCAGCTCCTCCTCGGATCCTCACGAGCACCTGGAAGTGCTCGCGTTTTAAAGCGGGACTACCTACAGGAGCCCCTCGCGAACGCAACTCCACCATCATAGGCACCCAGTCCCTGTTTGGTGAGTGACTAGGGGCTGTGTGGCGGTAACGCACGCCTAGCTCCTGGAACGCTTTACAGTCCATTAAGAGAGGCTCAAGCGCGCCTCCTTCCCTGGATCCTCCCGGGACCTGCGGGTAATGGAGGAGTTCTCCATAGCGAGGCAGCGCACCCAAGCCAGACAGGATGCCCACGCGGCACTCCTCCGTCTCCGGCTGGAAGGCGAACTCCAAGCTCCGTGCGTCCAGGGCATTGCTAGTCCCCAGCAGTTCTTCCACGACCAGGGGCAAGTTTCGAGTCACAACCTCCAGCTGGGTGAAGACCACTTCCACCTCCAGGGCTAGCGGAAGCACGATCGCCCCTCCTGGGGCATCATAGCGCAGTTGCAGCCGAACGCGGTCCCGAGACGGGCTGCGCGCGCCCAGGTGCGAGTAGCGCACCTCGCGGGGACCGAAATCGCACGGGAAGCGCTTAGGACTCAGGCGGCCAGGCCGCTGGGCTAACGCGTCGTTTTCTAGCACAGTCACCTTGCAGCGGTCCCCTGGCTGCACTTGCAACACTAGGTCGTGCAGCGGGTCCAGCCACACTTCACGTCCGAAAGGCACCCGGAGTCCGCGGTTTGCCAGCACTATGGTTTCCTCCTGAGGGACCCCAGCAACCCCTGCGAGACCCGGGGACAACAGTACTCCGGCGGGGGCAGCCGGCTGTGACGAGATGCGGCTTACCAGTGACAGGAGAAGCAGCAGCAGTCTGGGCGGCGGCGCAGGTATTAGCTGAAAGCTGGTGGCACTGGCTGTCCGGTGCGCGCGTGTGGCGATTCCGGGAGTCCCAGCAGACCGCATGGTACAGGTGTTCAGGCTCCAACAGGTCAGCCTGAGAGCATGCAAAATCAGTCCCAAGGTAAACTACAAGCGACACCTCCGGAAAGTGCCAGGCACTCAGCACGCTGCCTGCGGGATCTCCGGGTAACCAGGACTTCGCCAGAGGATGGGAAAGTTGAGCAGCGCGGTCCGGGCTGGAGCCACAGCCGAAGAGGCTAAGCCCTCCCAGCCCGTCCGGCTCCGCCGCCTGCAGCTCGGTTGCGCGCAGTCCCTTCCCTCCTACTTCCCAGGTCCCCAGACCCAGGGCTTTGAGGGAAATCCCTCCCCTCGCACCCCCTTACCCCAGTCCTCCCAGGAGACCAATCGTCCGTCCCGGGAGGAGGCCCCGAGTCCAGGGTTGGGTAGGGATTTCTGTCAATCAGCTCTCTTAGGGGACAAGGCGGGGAAACTGCAGAGAGGGGAGGAGAAAGAAGGCGCAACAGGTTGCCTTGGAATTGAGGGGATGTGGCCTGGCGTTGCCTACTTTTGGTCTCGCTTGACTCTCGACTGCTAGGTCTGGAGGTCCGGCAGAGGAATCGGAACAGTGGGCGGTGCGGGATCCATTTATTTATTCATCTATGTGCCCTCAGGATCAACCCATTTCAGTCCTCCTTCCCCTTCATTGGAACCCTGTGCATAGGGTGGTCATTTCTCACGGAAACTTTCAAATTCCAAAAGAAAAGAAAGTTAAATAGTGCCGCCTGAATTTGAATCGAAACCCAGGGCAGTTTGAGAATAAACTCTGGGCGTATTTACAAAAGAAGGACAGCTGGATTTAAAACCCAAAGCTAAAGCAGGTTGCACCCTCCCCTCCACTCCCGCCCCACGCTGCCTTTTCATAAATTACCATGGGCACAGTCCTCGGACTGGAGAGTTTTTAACAAGCCTCTCCTTTGCAACCAAAGTTCACAGGGTAAAAGGAAAAGGGGGCATTTGGAATGCGTGAGAAATGCAGTCTGATCAGAATCGCTAGTCTGTCACCAAAGAATAAGTTCTAGGGAATGTAGCCTCAGGCTGTCCCAAAGCCTTCCCTGTTAGGGTAGCTGTCATTAGAGACGCTCCCGTTCCACTCGCAGTAATTAGACCAAGTACGAACTAAACCCGCCTGTCAGCATCACATTTCTTTGCCTGCCAAGAGAATTGATAAGTATCCGAGGGAGGGCAAGCTAAAAGAGTGTAGACCCCATTTTAGTCAGCAGGGTTTGAGGCTGACTTGAGCTCTTCCTGCCCCCTTGTGTTTGTCTGGTTTCAGGAGTGTGCAGATTGCCTTTTTAGAAGGTTTTCTAATTACCCTCCCTCCCCCTGTAAAAAAACCAACCAAACAAAAAACCACCCTTATTATAAAAACTCAACCGTTTTCAATTGGTTCCTTGAGCAGTCTTGCTTATTCTGGTCAAAATACTTTATTTGGGGTAATGTTCATTTTTGTTCAACAATACAAATCTGATTATTAAACAGGAACAAAAAATTGGCCTTCTTACCACTTTCCTCTTCAAAGATATTTTGAATTGCAAAAAGAGGTCGGTAAGAAACTGACAGTGCGCTTTTAAATTTTAGTCCAAATTAAAGATATAAGCTACATAAGTAATTCGTAAGTAATTTCACTAAGAAGTGGCCCTCTTTTTAATTCTTTTGTGCGTTTAACCTGACATCTTCTAGTTCAGGATTTTGAGCTCTGCCTGACACTTTCACAGCTATTCCAGATTACAGCCCAAACTTCGTTGCAAAAGTATTGCTGGGAGATGGCAGATTTGTTCCAGGAAGACACTGGGCCAGTTGTTCCCTGGGAGTCAGGGATGGAAAGTTCTGGAAGTTTTGCAAAAGAAGCAACATATTAATGTAAACACACAAATAATGTCTAATTAGTTGTTCTAATCTTATTCTTCATGTTCTGTACTGTTTGGTGGACTTTTAACTCCTACTTAAAATTAGTGGGTACATTTCACAATTTGTTACAAAATGAACATTCTTGTATATAGAAGGAATGAGGCCAATACATTAAACACATTAGAAAACCCCCATCCAACTCCTCACCAATTTCTAATTCTCTTTGGCATTATTATTTAAATGTGTTATGATTATTTATTTCATACAGGATACAAATGGCAGAGATATGGGAATATCCTGTTTTCTGTTCACAAATAAATACAAAGCTGCCAAGTGGAATAGAAAATCAGTTTCAGAATAAAATATGGCTCTTTCTATATTATATATCAAATTCTGGTTATATGTTTTTAATGAAAAATGTCAACTGGCAGCCAAGTGGCCTTTACTCCTGCATTGTGACTCTGGGTGAGTCCTGACCAGAATCAGATCAACAGCCTACCCCTGATGCTTCCCAGTGGCTCCAGGGTTTTCCTTTCTTCCTTTTAAAGTCCACCTCTGTTTGACTTGCCAGCAATGATAAGATCAGCACGTGAAGCATGGCAGTATGCCTGAAGGGCAGAGTTCATTATTTTGTTTCACGCTAAGAAGAATACAAGCCCACATTTCTTTGTAAGTACCATAAGGAAATCAAGAAACTGTAATCTTTTTTGACTTTTAAATCTAGCCTGTACTGATTATAGAGATGGAATGATTCTTGGAAATGTTTTGTAAACATCTTAGTTTTTTAAAATCAGATAGATGACAATGCACATGATGGCTTGCTTAAGTATCTTTTGCATTGATGATCATTGATAAAATGGTGAAATATTACGTTTTCACTTGAGAGCAACTATTATTGATGGTCTCTTTTCTGAGTAATAGCTCAGTGTTAAAATATCTCTGTGATTAAATTAGAAAGAAAATACTAACACTCAACAGTCTCAACATCATAGGGATAAGTCAATAAATGTGACACATAAAAAAATCTAAGCCTAACTCTTCAGTTGTTATTTTCTTGAGTCTTTCTAACACTGTCTGTATATAATTGGCAAAATAGTCCTTAAAAATAAGTTCTTAATTTTTTTTATAATTTAGAAGTCTATCCTTCAAAATAACTTAAAGTTAAAATGAGTGATTGAAACTCAAATGATTTCTGTCCCAAGGTTAGGCACCAGAAAACCTGTTTTAAAATAAAGGGGGTTAGTTGATGAACTTAAGATTCAGGCAAGAGAGTCAGGTAGAAATTCAGTGGCAGGTCTGGGACTCTGAAATCAGATGACCTATATCAGCTAGATCACTTATTTGATTCATGTAAGATTTCTTGCCCATTTTTTGTTTCTGTAATTTTTATTAAGTTGCTAAATTCTCAAATAAAGTCAGACTATAGTTAAAGTTGTATCTGGTTAAAACTTGAACATCACAGTTTTCATTACACGGCTTATTTCACTTTTTCTGCATTCCTCTACTGGATCTTAAGACTCTTAAGAAGAGATTGCCTTACAGACACCTTAAAAATACAAATAGTCATTTCTCAGCATCCATGGAGGACTAGTTCCAACATCCTCTGACATACCAAAATCTAAGAATGCTCAAGGCCCTTACATAAAATAACATAGTATTTGCACAGAACCGTGCACACAGCCCTGAACACATTACATTTTAAATCATCTTTAGATTGCTGCAATACCCAGTACAATTTAAATACTATATAAATACCTGTTTGCTGTTTAGGGAATAAAGACAATGCATCTGTTAGCTACAGATGCATTTTTTTCCCTGAATGTTTGCAGCTTGTGGTGTGTTGAATGCATGGTTATGGAACCCGCAGGGAGGATTTACTGTCCTTGTAGACGAATGACAGAAGCTTCATGCCAAACATCTTTACTAGTTCTCAACAGCTTCAACATCTGCAAATCCATGGCTTTCCTATAAATAAAAAATTGAGTGATTTCAGAGCAGCAGTGGAGAGAGCAAAGAGCCCTGGACTAATTAACCAGGAGCAGATTGACATTCTCTCTCTGACATCCGCTAACTACGTGACTAGCAGCAGTTCTCATATTTCCCAGTTACGATCTCCTCAAGAGTAAGACAAGGAACCCCATCTGTGTAGATAAATTCCCTTTTGGTTCCATAACATCTATAATATTTATAGAACACCTGCAATTTTGTTTCCCTATATTCTTTGATCACAGGTTGCAATTGTCATTCTTGCAAGAAAGATGGACTGAATTAATTTAAAAACGTGTCACTGTTACCAAGTCAGGAAACTTAGAGCTCAGTGATCATGCCACTTGCTAGTGGATCAGCCATTCCTTTCCAAAATATCTGGAGCAACATTTGCACTCATTGCTGTGGGCAGTTTAATACATCTCTGGTTGTTTTTTAGTCAAACAGAAAATTAAGATAAAAATCCAACAATAGAAAACTAAATTGAACTCATTATGAGGATAGATGAGATTTTAAGGTAGTTCTGTTATTAAGTGACTTATCAGCACCCATGCTTTCCAGGCAAAGCTGTGTTTGGATGGGAGTTTTCTGTAGGTAAGAAGAAAGAACATTGGATTGGACACATTTTAAAACTGACATTCACATTTGTTTACTTGAAGCTCATGACAAGTGACACTTTCCATCTCTAAAAATGTGTGATTGGGGAAGAGGTAATGTACATACAAATGCAAAATGTCTACATATTTAGTATGGTATATATGCAAAATGCAAATAAGAGAAACGTTCATTGTTTTCAAACTCTCTCTGTGTGTATATAATGTATACTCATACATATGCATCTGTTTGTCTATCTATCTATCTATCTATGTATCAATGCTAAATATTTTCTGAGTAAAGATGCCAAGCTCTTTGTTTCTCTTTGCTTCTACTTATCTCATTGTTTGGACTTATTTCTTAGTATGTTATCAATGAAAGATTGGAGTGAATCAGTATCATCTGAATAATTGATATGATATAACCATTGTCTGAAAATTTTAAATGTTTGTAAATAATCAAATAGCTTATTATTTTTAGAATCCATTTCTTGTAATTATAATAATAAATTACCTTGTTTGAGAATGGAGGCAATGATAAATGAGAATTGCGTTGCTAATCAGAAGTTCTTTTTTTTTTTTTTTTTTTTTTTGAGGTACTGGAGTTTGAACTCAGGGCCTAGACCTTGAGCCACTCCACCAGCCCTTTTTATGTGATAGGTGTTTTTGAGATAGGTCTCACAAAGTATTTGCCTGAGCTGGCTTCAAACTGCAATCCTCCTGATCTCTGCTCCTGAGTAGCTAGGATTATAGTGTGAGCCACGAACACCCAGATCAGACGTTTTTATAGTGATAATTTCCTAATATTACTGTTGCTGAATCTCTTGGTAAAATCTCCTACTAACATAAATAATAAAATAATGTTTTCCAAAAATAG